TTAAGTAAAATTCACTAATACTGTATCTATTATGTATATTCGGTACTCAATTAGTACATCCGATATTCTGTTTCGTGAAGCTTTTGAAACAATTATCCAACGAGTGGTTTAAAAAAAATGCTTGAAAGTTATCATCTCCCTGCAGAAAATCATGAGAAATTTTTTTTTTTTTTTAGCTTTTTCAAAAATTTTCAGGGTTTTTCGTTTTATTTTGAAAACCTGTGGGGTGTTCCATTTGCATCCTAGGAGTTGGATAAGAAACAGGGGGAGGCTTTAAATGGAAAGAAAAGGGTAAAATTCCATTTTAGTGGCAGAAAACATGTGTAACTTTCGTCATCTAACTAGGGATGTCATCCTCTGCTTTCAATACAACAATTTGCTCCCTGTTGAAGTGACTGGTTACATGTTCCTGATAATTTTACTTCTATGTGCGGCTGGCTAGATTGTTCTGAAACGGGATCCACGCAAACGAATTTAGAATTGGTTATCTATGTTACATGTACAGCGCATTTCTCCCTGGCGATTTATAAGGCAAAATGTTCTATACAAGTGGAAAAATCCTTGTATCATTGTCGTTAAATTTGAACTGGATTTATAATTAAACTTATCGACTGATCCAATCCGGTCATTGATTTTGGTGGGATCAAACCTGGTCTTCAATAGGTTGTCAATTACATTGGTTATCAAAACTATTACCAACGGAAGAAGAATTAAGTTAAGGGTCGTGCTATGTGTACACAATGGTGTACACCCCCCTCACATGGAGGGAGGTCCGCACACAATAAAATATGTGTGGGTCCCCCTCAATATGAAGGGGGTTTAATGCATTGGTGTACACATAGCATTATTTTTAAGTGAATTTGTGTTTTAAAACTTATTCATTACAAAAAATAAAATAAAAAAATCAAAATTCTCATAATTTATCTATAAATGTTAAAATTGATATTATAGTGAATAAAACTCGTGATGAATGAAAAGATCAAATATTGTGTAATGATACAAATAAAACTAGAATTTTTTATCTAAAAAAATTTCCTAGTAATGAGCCTTCGGTTAGACTAATGACCGATTGAACCAATGATCCGATTATTTGTATAGATCAACGTTCAAGTCGAGTTTGATAACTATGTCTTTTACTTTATGTTCTTGTTTATTTTTTATTCCTGAAAATCTCAAACATTTGTGCGAGAAATTTTTGTTAGGCTAGGAAATTCAAATCCTAGTGGTAGTTTCCTTGGTAGTCCATGCTTTTAGCTAATTATTTAGCATTATATGAGTTAAAGTAGTTAGTGTCTATATTTTAAGAATCAATGGTTTTTTGCTGTATCTATTTCAATATAGAGGTCAAGATTCTTCGTCTGAGCCTATCTTTCTCTATTCTTTCTATCTTGTTTTATTTTATGATTACAAGAAAATTGTGTTATCACATATGGTTTCTAGATTCTTCCTCACTTGTATCTTTTTGCAAACTTAGGGCGTGTTCGGTAGAAATTAAAATCGGATTAAAATTGAAAAACTAGCCGTTATTGTTGACTTTTATTAGACGAATGAGATCCAATTACGGCTATATTTTCAATTTTAATTGAATTTTAAGCACGACCAAACATGCCCTTAACAAAGATCCTTTGTTTTTTTCCAAGCAATCTCCCAAGTCCTAGTACTCACAAGTCACAACTCAGTTCATGTTAATTGAGGTTTTTAACAGTCTCTATGTTCATTCTTGATACCCCCCAAGTGATATAATGCTTGTTATAGTCTATGTTGATGCTATTATACTTACTAGGAGCAACATAATTATAGTTTCTAATCTAGTGGACCAATTGAACAATAAAAGATCATGGTAATCTCACTTTTTTTTTGTGACTCAAGTGTTCGAGTTTCGTCCGACTAATCCTGAGGAGTGGCGGCCTTCTCCCCTGATTCGCCACTCGGATAAATTCGAATATGATTAGAACTTATACAAACTTGAATCGAACATTCAAGAAGCAGTTCTCCTCCATGATGTTCTCACTTATTTTATTAGAATTAAAGTAGCAGAGTTGGGTAATTTCCTTCATCTGTGTCAACAGTAACATGATAAAGCACACAGGGCAGCGGCAAATCCTATTACACTCCTGTGTTATTAGGGTCAACTTTATCCCTCCAAGATGGTGAGTCTTTACCAAATTTTACCCTTTACAAGTCAAAACCATAATTGGAGCTGTCACATATTTCACTTTAGTAGGCCACACATTGGTTTCAAGTGAACAAGGTAACTTGGTTCATGCACTACCCAAATACGGCGCCTTTGTAGGCTGAAAAGAATTCTTAGGTACTTGAAAGCCACAATCTCCCATGGTCTATCTCTCTTCAACTTTCTCCTGATTTCACGCTATTAGCGTTGATGGTGATTTTGTTAGTTGTCTAGATGATTGTCGAATCATGAGTGGTTTTAGTAGATTTCTTGTTCCTAATAACACCTATTTGACCTCTACCAAGCAAAGGGTTGTCTTCCATTCAAACACTAATTCAAAATATTCAGGTTTAGCAAATGCTTAAATTCAAGTAAAATTCTTTATTAATAATATTAGTGCTATCTACGTACCAAAAACACTAAAATTAAAATACATTCTTCGCGAGAAAGGATTTTAATTTATTAAGAAAATATATTTAGATAGAAACACTCCTTTCATCGGACGATTAGAAAGAAATAATATTTCAATGACACTTGATGGCGGAACTATGGGCATGTTTGGGAGCGCTTTCTTCCAATTTTCATTAATTAATTGACCCTTTTTTACTACAGAATGGAGCCCACTTTGGCAACAAAAACTGACATTGTAAAAATGAACTACCGAAGCCCATATGTCATGCAAAATGAATTAAATATTAAGGGCAAAAAGGTCATTTTGACATAAAATGGTCCAATATTGTGGTTGCCATATCAGTCTTCATTGGAAAATGGTAAAAAGCAACGGTTCAAATTTTACTTGGCAACGGTTGAGATTGCAATTTTAAGTGCAACCATACACTAACTATAATCCAAAATTCAATTCAATTATGTGAGAAACATAATAACATATATATCAATTATGAGAGACATTGTGGTCTACCTAAAATTTCTAATAATATTTCTATTGACTATTTGTATAGCATTAATGAGTAAATCAACTTTTTTCTTAGTTTTTTAAGCATGAATATTGAACCAAAAGGCAAATATTGATATTAATATGAAGCCAATCCTAGGTGGATCTAATCCCATAATCCCCACACATACCTCTCCAAATAAGTGAAGGGCCATGGTTGCCACAACATTAAAGAAATAGAAGAAAAATAGACAAACCCCATTCTAGGCCATCATTCTTCTCACATGGATCAGCTAATAGACACACAC